ACAGAACCCTCCCTGCCTCCTCTGAGGTCAATCCTCTAGTCTCCGATCTGTCATTAAGTTTCATAAGCGATTCCAACATTCCGCAAGTGAAGCTCGCGTCTGCTGCTGATTTCAACCAGGTGGAGGAGTACGAAAGCGATTCTGAAATTAGCGATGTTGATACGGATAGTTACTCAGAGGATCTTGTCATCAGGAAGCCAGTAGTAACAAGGTCCGGAAGGCAAGTCAAGGTGTGGACACGGTTTGGTGTCTAGGCAAAAAAAGGTACCCGAGACAAGCTAGACTGTACATTTGAGAATATTGGGATAAGTACCAAATGGTTTGGTTAGTTTTCTGCAGTTTCACTTTCGAAAGGAATTACCACGAAGTTAACATGTTGGTAAGTACGAGCATTCAAACCGAAACTTAAAAATGTTTTAAACTGTTTTGTTAAACACGGTTTAATCTTTTTTTGTTCATAGAAGTTGCTTAAACCAATTGTTTGTCGACGTGAAATTCTGCGTATTTTTTGTTTGATGCGGAGGTGATATTGTAAGGAGAAATTAGATGCTGGTCACTCTTTGGGTTTAAGGTTTAGATTCTTTGATTACTACGATTTTGCCTTAAATCGGCGTTTGATTTGTCTCCACATCTGTGATCATGTTTTACTCTTTCATTACATCGTAAAAGGACAATGTATGAAAAATACATGGGTAGTTGTCTGTCGCAACCGATTGCATCTGTGATCATGCCATGCCGTTTCGCGGCGCAAACCGTATGGTATCGGCAGAGTGATTCCCTTAAAGAAATGGGGTAGTATATATTGTTCAAACGAGAAAAGGAATTGATATGTGGTTTGTCCTTACGTGGTGGTAATGAATCATATCAACCGATCAACCGATGAATCAATGCACAAAAACTAAAACTAAACTTTTTCTAATTGTGTCCCGTACTATTAAAACAAATGTTCATCGCAGGTAAAGAAAAAATTTATTCGAGAGAAAAGCCGATGGGATTTATTCGATTTCATTCAGCTTGAGACAAATGATAAACTTGAAATTGTTTATCAGAGTCATCGTATTTCATCTCATTTTCTTCTGTAGAGATATCAGTAATTGCACGTTTGGTTATTTTGGTGTTAGCTACTTCAGTTAAGTTTCGTATAATCGTTTCCGACGGAGTTATTGCGCTGTAGATTATGAGAAGATATAAATAAATGCTCAGCCAATCAACTGGAGCGCACAAATCTCTCCATATATTCACAAATTACACCTAATGCAGTAGGTTACATGCGGCTTCAGGGTTCCTTGCATTGGAACTAGTCATTATGTATCATCTGGGAGGGGAGGGAGGTGGAGCATTTAGTGGGGATCACGTGGTTATTGAGGGAAACGGAGGAGGATCAGTCGTCGCTAACAGAGAATAAAGGGGGAACTAACGAGAATTGATTGCCCCCCTCCCCACCCAGGCCAGGTGATAAATAAAGATAGGTCCCTAGGAGGGGCTGTGATTGTCATCCTTTTTTACTTTTCTACTTGAGCGGAAGCAATCGAGAAGGTAACCGCGGTAAAAACAATTTCAACGAAAAACTCTCCACTAACGTCACGCTCAAAATAGAAAAGTGTAAAGGAGTTGTGTATTTGTGAAGCCATATTAACGTCCATCCGCCATTTAAGAAGTAAATATGTACAATGGATACAAACCATACAGGAAAATATCGCTTTTTGCGTGTGTTGAGTTGCGGTTCGGGAGTGATTAGTTAAGTAAAAGGCCGCACATTCCATCGGTTTACCGGCCTAACAACCCATGCGGGATGTTGGGATAACATGAGAATGGTTTGTATAATACGAGCAGGAGGCGAATGGTTCACAAACTTTTCGAGAAACTACAAAGTTGATAACTGAAGGCTACTTGCCTTCAAGTTTACTTGCACGTAAACTATGGATTTGATCCACTTCAACGTGCCATGTTCCTTTCCAGCCCTTCACGTCCATGTGGGTGTAGGGGTGTGTTTTGAAAGTCAAATGTTAAAGTTTTACCATCACCTCATTCATTGAAGGGATCATCAGTTCTTAGCAATAAAATAGTAATCGTGTATAATCGACGATGTCTTTCACCAACGTTAAAATCAGTCGCCAATTCCTCTTACCCGTAATTTGGTTTGAATTACAATTTTATCTGCCAGATCCCCGCCAGCACAAAATGAACCTTGAAGGAATTCGCCATATCCATGGGGATAAGTAACCTCCTCTGTTACCAGCAAAATTATTATCATGATGTGCGTATGCTGCTTGAGACCCGAAGATTCTTCGGAAGACTCGTATACCGAGATAGCACCCGACGAGAGAGCCAGGGAAGCGTCAGATTACGAGGAGTTAGCAATGGTGTGCCCCTCTCGTGGTGAGTACGCTAAGGCTAAAGAATATTTCGAAAAAGCTCTTGCGATCAATACTGAAACTGGCGACTTAGAAAGTAAAGGTACGTACTACGTAAATTTAGGAACTGCGTGCAGCTCACTTGGAGAATACGCCGAGGCCAAAGAATATATCGAAAAAGCTCTTACCGTCGCAACTGAAATGGGCGACGAAGAAGGAGAAGCATTGTGTTATCGAAACTTGGGAACTGCGTGTTTTTTCCTCCATAAATATGTCGAGGCTAAAGAGCACGCCGAAAAAGCACTTGTGATCAGAATTGAAATTGGCGATGGAGCAGGTGAATTAGAAGATTACGCAATCTTAGGAATGATGCATACGTCGCTCTGTGAATATGACAGGGCTAAAGCACGTCTCCAAAAAGCACTTGAGATCAAAATTGAAATTGGCGACCGAAAATGGGAAGCAACAGATTGTGCAGACCTGGGTACTGTGTTCAGCTTGCTTGGCGACCAAGTCCAAGCACAGGAGTGCTTACAGAAAGCACTCGCCGTCCTGATTGAAGTTGACGACGAATCAGGGGAAGCAGAAGTTTACGAAAACTTGAGTGCGTTGTTTTATTCGCTCAGTGAATACGCCAAGGCGAAGGAATATCTAGAAAAAGCACTTAGAATCAGAATTAAAACTGGCGACAGATATGGTGAAGTAAAGAATTACGAAACCCTTGGAGTTGTGTGTAGCTCGCTTGGTGACCTCGTCAAGGCTAAAGATTATCTCGTAAAAGCTCTTGCGATCAATATTGAAACCGGCGACTTAGAAGGTAAAGCAATGTACTACTTAAATTTAGGAACCGTATGCAGCTCACTTGGAGAATACGCCGAGGCTAAAGAATATTACAAAAAAGCTCTTCCCATCTTGACTGAAATTGGCAACAAAGCTACGTACTACGTAAATTTAGGAACTGTTTGCAGCTTCCTTGGAGAATACAGCGAAGCTAAAGAATATTACGAAAAGGCTCTACCCATCGCAACTGAAATTGGCGACAAAGCTACGTACTACGTAAATTTAGGAACTGTGTGCAGGTTCCTTGGAGAACACGCCGAGGCTAAAGAATATTAAGAAAAAGCGCTTTCCATCGCAACTGAAATTGGCGACAAAGAAGGAGAAGCATTGTGTTATCGAAACTTGGGAAATGCGTGTTTTTTCCTTCATAAATATGTCGAGGCTAAAGAGCACACCGAAAAAGCACTTGCGATCAGAATTGAAATCGCCGATAGAGCCGGTGAATCAGCAGATTACGCAAATTTAGGAATGACGCATAGGTCGCTCTGTGACTATGTCAGAGCTAAAGCATGTCTCCAAAAAGCACTTGAGATCAAAATTGAAATTGGCGACCGAAAAGGAGAAGCAACAGATTGTGGAAACCTGGGTACTGGGTTCAGCTCGCTTGGCGACCAAGTTCAAGCACAGGAGTGCTTACAGAAAGCACTCGCCATCCTGATTGAGGTTGGCGACGAATCAGGGTAAGCAACAATTTACGAAAATTTAAGTACGGTGTTTTATTCGCTCAGTGAATACGCCAAGGCGAAGGAATATCTAGAAAAAGCACTTGGAATCAGAATTAAAACTGGCGACAGAGATGGTGAAGCAAAGAATTACGAAACCCTTGGAGTTGTGTGCAGGTCGCTTGGTGACCTCGTCAAGGCAAAAGATAATCTCGCAAAAGCAGTTGCCATCAGGATTGAAATGGGCAACAGAGAGGGAGAAGCCCCAGGTCACGCAAACCTAGCAACGGTGGTTTGGTCCCTTGGCGACTACAATAAGGCTAAAGAGTACATCGAAAAAGCACTTGCGATCAACATTGATATCAGCGACAGAGAAGGGTTGTCATCACGTTACGGATTCTTAGGAACTATGCATCGGTCGCGAGGTGAATACCTCAAGGCTAAACAATGTTACGAGAAAGGACTTGCTCGGATTAGGGAAACTGGAGATAAAAAAGGAGAAGCAACAATTGCTGGAATGCTAGGAGCTGCATTTTTTTGGCTAGGTGAATATGTCAAGGCTAAAGAACATCTTAAAAAGTCCCTAGCGATCAGAATTGAAACTGGCGACAGAGTGGGTGAAGCATCAGATTGTGGAAACCAAGGAACGGTGTTTTGGTGGCATCAAGGCCAAAGAGTATCTTTTAAAAGCAGTTGCTATCAGAACTGAAACTGGCGACAAAAGAGGAGACGCATCACAAAAGAAAGTTAGGAATTGTATGTAATTCGCTTGGTGAATACTTCGAGGCTAAAGAATTTCACGAAAAAGCCCTTTCAATCAGAATTGAAATTGGTCACAGAAATGAAAATGCATCTGGGTTGAGTAATTTACGAACTGCGGGTGCGTCGATTAGTAGATACCTTGAGCCCGAAGACCAGCCATAAGCGATGAAAATTGAAATTAATGACAGAGGCAGGGAAGCAGCACATTACGAAAGCATAGCAAATTCGAATTGTTTGCTTGGTGACTTTGTCAAGGCTAAAGAGTGTTTCGAAAAAGCCATTACCATCAGAGTTGAAATCGGTGACAGAAGAGGAGAAGCATCAAATTACGGAAACTTAGGAACTGTCTTTGAGTCGCTTGGTGAGTACGTCAAAGCTAAAGAATATCAAGAAAAAGCACTTGCTGTCATGATTCAAATCGGCGACAAATCAGGTGAAGCAACAGCCTACGGAAATTTGGCTACTGTGTTATGGTCAATTAGTGACTACAACAAGGCCGAAGAATATCAAGAAAAAGCGCTTGGAATCAGAATTGAAATTGGTGACAGAAAAGGAGAAGCAACAAATTATGGAAATTTAGGAACTGTGTTTCATTTTCTTGGCGAACACGTCAAAGCAATAGAGTACATCGAAAAAGCACTGGCAATTAATATCGAAATTGGCAATAGAGCAGGCCAAGGAGTAGATTTCGGAAACTTAGGAACGGTGTACACCTCTCTTGGCGACTACGTCAGAGCACGAGAATATCTCCAGAAGGCTCTTGCAATCAGAATTGAAATTGGTGACAGAAGAGGAGAAGCATCAGATTACGGAAACTTAGGAACTGTGTTTCATTCGCACGGTGAATACTTGGAAGCAAAAAAATATTTCAAAAAAGTACTCGCGATCAGAAGTGATATTGGCGACAAAGGAGGAGAAGCAACAGCTTACCCAAACTTTGGAACGGTGTCTCTCTCTCTCTTGGTGACTACTTAAAAGCACGGTAATATCTCCAGAAAGCCCTTGCAATCAGGATTGAAATTTGTGACAGAAGAGGAGAAGCATCAGATTGCGTAAACTTAGGGAGAGTGTTTCATTCGCTTGGTGAATACGTTGAGGCGAAAAATTATTTATACAGAGCACTCGCGATCACAACTGATATTGGCGACAGGAGAGGAGAAGCATCAGTTTACGGAAACTTAGGAACTGTGTTTAACTCGCTTGGTGATTACGCTAAAGCTGAAGGATATCTCCAAAAAGCACTTGCCATTAGGATTGAAATTGATGACAGATCAGGTGAAGCAAAGACTTACGGAAACAAAGGAACTTTATTTAACTCGCTCGCCGACAACGTCAAAGCTAAACAATGTTTCGAAAAAGCACTAGCAATCAGCATGGAAATTGGTGATAGAGGAGGAGAATCAAGATATTACGGAAGTCTCGGAGCTACTTTTATCTCGCTTGGTGAAAATTTCAAGGCTAAAGAATACATTCAGGATGCAATCGCCATTGTAACTGAAACTGGTGACCGGTCAGGTGAAGCAACAAGTTATGGAAACTTAGGAGCTATTTTCAGCTCACTTGGTGAGTACATCAAGGCTATAGAGTATCAAGAAAAAGCATTGGCCATAAGAATTGAAATTGGTGACAGAAATGGAGAAGCATTTTGTTACGGAAACTTAGGAACTGTGTTTAGCTCACTTGGAGAGTACGCCAAGGCTAAAGAATATCACGAAAAAGCACTTAGCATCAGAAGTGAAATTGGCCACAAAGCAGGAGAAGCAACCGACTATGGGAACTTAGGAACAGTGTTTTACTCGCTTGGGGAATACGTCGAGACCATAGAATATCAAGAAAAGGCACTTGCAATTAGAAGTGAAATTGGTGACAGGAAAGGAGAGGCATTTTGTTATGGAAACTTAGGAACTGTGTATGCCTCGCTTGGCGACAATGTCAAAGCAGGTGATTATCACAAAAACGCACTCGCTATCAGAATTGAAATTGGTGACAGAGAAGGGCAAATATTCGATTACTTAGATCTAGGATGCATTTTTACATCCCTCGGTGATTATGAAGTTGCTAAAGAATATTTGGAAAAGGGATTGTCCATATCAAGAGATATTGGATGTGCTGCAACTGAGATGAAAATGCTTCTTATATATGCACAGCTTAAACTTTCTCAAAACAGAATCCAAGATTCGTTTCTTTACCTCCATCAGTGTATTGAAAAATATGAAATGCTGCGCGTGCTTCTTGGGGTGAATGATCGGTTTAAAACATCGTTTTTGGAGGATAGTGGTGCAATTCCTTACACGATGTTCAGTGTATTGCTCACAGTCCATGGAAATCCTTGTGGTGCTCTTTATGTTGAAGAGCTGGGACGAGCAAGAGGTCTGGCAGATTTGATGGCAGCAAAGTACTCTGTTGAAACGCAAATCTCTGCTGATCCACAGTCGTGGTCTGGAATTGAAAACATAATGAGAGCGGAAGCAAACTGTGCTTGTCTGTACATTTCATATTTTCAAAATTTTGTGCATTTATGGGTGTTGAAAGCAAATGGAGGCATTCATTTCAAACAGATACCAACCGAGTTGGAATTTGCCAGAGGCTTAACTGTCAGCCAATTTTTAGCTAATTTGAGTTTCCGGCAGATTGGTGTTTTGCCAGCACAGTAAATATTGCGAAGATCGATCTTTGAACGTCGGTGAGCCGCAATCAATTTCACCCAAGCAAGAGAACACCACAACATTGCGACTTCTGGAGGAAGACGACGAAGAAATCACAGAAGAAAATATCAATTTTTCATCCTTTTGCTACAAATTCTTCATCGCCCCTGTGGCTGACTTACTCGAGGAGCCTGAAGTCATCAGTGTACCTCATGGCAGCTTATATAAAATTCCATTTGCTGCCCTGAGTGATAAGGAGGGCAAATACTTATCGGAGTCTCATCAGATCCGTATAGTTCCTTCATTGACGACACTCAAGCTAATTCAAGATAGTCCAGTGGATTATCACAGTCGGACTGACGCACTGATCGTGGGTGATCCCACAGTTGACTGGGTCATGTACAAGGGAGGTATTCAGCACATCAGCTCATTGCCATGCGCAAGAAAGGAAGCAAAGATGGTTGGACGACTGGTGGGCGTAGAACCTTTATTAGGAGAGCAAGCGACGAAGCAGGCGGTAATGAAGAAGATAGCATCAGTGAGCCTGATACACTTTGCTGCACATGGCGATGCCGAAAGAGGAGAAATCGCTCTTTCTCCCATCCGTACTCGTGACAATCCTGATATCACCCCACAAGAAGAAGATTATCTATTGACGATGGCTGAGATATCAGAAGTTAAAGTCAGAGCTAAACTGGTTGTGCTCAGCTCCTGTCATAGTGGAAGTGGAGAGATCAAAGCCGAGGGAATCATTGAAATTGCTCGAGCATTCTTAAGATCCGGTGCTCGGTCAGTGTTGGTTGCACTGTGGGCTATATCAGACACAGCAACAGAACAGCTCATGAATTGTTTCTATGAACACCTTGTGCGTGAAGAAAGTGCCAGTGATTCTCTTCAACAGGCCATGAAGTGGATGAGGAATAACGGCTTTACAAAGGTCTCTGAGTGGGCTCCGTTCGTACTCATTGGAGATGACATAACATTGGAGTTTGAAAAATCAAACTTCGAAAAGTAAGCCATCTGACTGACATGCGTAAATCAAACCTGAGTATTCGTCTTAGCTTTTTCTAAAGTAATAAGGTAACTACGTCACGTTGATAAGCAGTAACTGAAAAAATCTTTCCATGGAACAGTTACGTACGCGCGGAGTAGCCATTAGTTTTGAACAATTTTGGTTTTACCAACTGAGTTGATAACGTAAATTCACCACCGCAAAGAATTTACAGTGAAACTAAGTGAAGCGTACCCCCCAAGATTGCATTAATGAATTGATCATTTGGATATTGAACCCGCCAGTCGTTTCAAGAATGCAATAATGAATTGATTATTTGATTATTGAACCCGCTAACCGTTTCACGAATGCAAAAATGAATTGATTATTTGAATATTGAACCCGATAGCCGTATTCGTTTTGAAAAGGCGCGGATCATTGTTCAAATCAGAAGTCCATTTCTGATTGGATTATGCGAACACGTGATGATGGATCGGAACTATTTCAACATGGCGTCAGACATGG